CCACTACATAGGACCATCATATCCAGACTGGAACACCAGCAGATCTACCTAATACTCAGCAACAAACACAGAGAGGCAGCCAAATAGGGAGACAAACATGCCCCAAATGAAAGAGCAATAGAAATACTTAAATAAAGAGGTAAGTGAAATGGAGGCAAGCAATCTATTATATAAAGAGTTCAAAACAATGATTAAGGGGTGTTCAAGGAACTTAGTGAAAGAATGGATGAACTCAGAAGAACTTAAACAAAATGATAGTAAGCATAAAAAGGAATAGAAACCATTAAAAAAGAACCAGTCAGAAATGAAGAATATAATACCTGAAATCAAGGCTTTACTAGAAAAAAATCACCAGCAGATAAATAAAGAAGAGGACTGAATCAGCCATTTGGAAGACAACATAGTAAAAAAAACCAATCAGCACAGCAAAAGGAAAAAATAATTTAAAAAAATGAGAATAGTTTAAAAGATCTTTGGGACAACATCAAGCACAACAACATCTGCATCATATGGGTACCAGAAAGAGAAGAGTGAGGGACAGGAATTGAGAATCTATTAGAAGAAATAATTACTGATACCTTCCCTAATTTGGTGAAGGAAAAAGACATACAAATCCTCCAACTGCAGAGAGTCCCAAACAAGATAGAACCCAAAAAGCCAACACTAAGACACATCATAATTAAAATGATAAAGCTTAAAGACAAAGAATCTTAAGCAGTAAGAGTAAAGCAGTTAATTACCTACTAGAAAACTCCCATAAGACTGTCAGCTGATTTCTCAAACTTTGCAGGCTAGAAGGAATTGGCAAGAAATATTCAAAGTGATTAAAAACAAGGACCTACAACGAAGTCTACTCTACCCAGCAAGACTATTATTTAAAATTGGTGGAGAAAGAAAGAGCTTCCCAGAAAAAAAGAACCTAAAGGTGTTCATCACCCCCAACCTAGTATTACAAAAAATATAAAGGGAAGAGAGAAAGAAAAGGAACATAAATATGTATAATAAAATCACAATAAATACATACCTATCAATAATGACTTTAAATGTAAATGGATTAAATCCTTCAAACAAAGACAAAGGGTAGCTGAATGAATAAGAAAAGACAACCCATATGCATACTATCTACAATGGACCCACTTCAGATTGAAGGACACACACTGACTAAAAACAAAGAATAAAAAATGTATTTTGTACTAATGGAAGCAAAAATACAAACAAAAACTGGGGAAACAATATTTATATCAAACAAAATAGACTTTAAAATAAAGTGTATAATAAGAGACAAAGAAGGCCATTAAGTAATGGTAAAGGGATCAACCCAACAAGAGAATATGATCCTTGTAAAGACTTATACACCAACAGAGGAGCACTTAAATATATACAGAAAACATTAATAAACAAAGGGAGAGATTGACAGTAACACAGTCATAATAGAGGACTTTATACCTCATTAACATCAATAGATAGATCTTTCAAAAAAATCATCAAGGAAACAACAACCTTAAATGACACACTAGACCCAATTGATTTCATTGCTATTATCATAGCATTTTACCCCAGAACATCAGAATATACACTCTTTTCAAGAGTACGTGGAACATTTCCCAGGATAGACCACATACTAGGACACAAAACAAGTGTCAATAAAATTAAGAAGATTGAAATAATATCAAACATGTCCACAATGGTATAAAACTAAAAGTCAATTACAAAAAAAAAAAAATACCCAGAAAAATATACAAACACATGGAGTCTAAGTAATATATTACTAAATAATGAATGAACTAATAATGTGTTCAAGAAAGAAATCAAAAGGCACCTTGAGACAAATAAAAGTGATAACACAACAACCCAATATGTATGGGACACAGAGAATGCAGTCCTAAGAGGGGGATACATAACAATACAGGCCTACCTCAAGAAACAAGAAAAATCTTAAATAAACAATCTACTCTTACCCTAAAAAAACTATGAAAAAAAAAACAATAAACAAAGCCCAAAGTGAATAGAAAAAAGGAAATAATAAAGATCAGAGTAGAAATAAATGAAATAGAGTCTAAAATATACAAAAATAATTAATGAAACAAAGAAATGATTCTTTGAAAAGATAAACAAGATTCATCATCATTTAACCAGACTCATCAAGAACAAGGTAGAGAGGACTCAAATAAATAAAACCATAAATAAAAGAAGAGAAGTAACAACTGACACCAGAGAAATAAAAATAATTATAAGAAAATATTACAAACAACTGTTGCCTACAAATTGGACAATTTGGATGAAATGGGTGAATTCTTAGAAACATTCAATCTTCTAAAATTTAATCAAGAAGAAATAGAAAATCTGAACAGAACAATTACAACCAATAAAATTGAAGTGGTAATTAAAAAGAACTAACAAACAAAATTCCTGAAACAGATGGCTCCATGAGTGAGCTTTACTATTCAAAAAAGAACTAACACCCATTCTTCACAAACTATTCCAAAAATTTCGAGAGTAAGGAAGACTCCCAAGGTTGTTTTATGAAGCCTGTATAATCCTTATTCCAAAACAAGATAAAGACACTACAAAGAAAAAAAATTATAGGCCAATATCCCTGATTAAATTAGATGCATCTACCACTTCATACATCATGATTTATGAGATATATTCCTGGATGCAAGGTTGGTATAATGTCTACAAATCAACTAGCAAGATATATCAAATAAACAAAATGAACGATAAAAATGATATTATATCAATTGATGCAGAAAAAGCATTTGATGAAATTCAGCACAAATTTATAATAAAAACTCTCGGCAAAGTAAGAATAGAGGGACTATACCTACACATAATCAATCCAAAATATAACAAAACCACACTAACATCATACACAATGGTAAAAAATCTAAGAGCATTTCCATTAAGATCAGGAACGGAGCAGGTGTCCACTCGTATTACTCTTATTCAATGTAGTACCAGAAGTCCTAACCATGAGAATCAGACAAGAAGCAGAAATTTTAAAAAATCATCGATATTAGAAAGGAAGAAGTAAAACTCTCATTATTTTGCAGATGACATGATAATGTATATAAAGAACCCTAAAATCCCACCAATAGAACAGGTAAATTCAGCTTAGTAACAAGATACAAAATAAATATTCAGAAATTGGTTGCATATTTATACATCAATAATGAACTGTCAGAAAGGAAAACTATGAAAACAATTCCACTTGTAAAATTACATTTTTAAAAAACCCACCTAGGAACAAATTTAATCAATGAAGTAAATACTTGTACTCAGAAAATTATAAGACACTGAAGAAAAATATTGAAGAAGATACAAATAACTATAAGCATATACCATGCTCATAGATAGGGAGAATTAACATCATTACAATGTCCATACTAACCAAAGCAACCTATAGCTTCAGTGCAAATTTCTGTCAAAACACCAATGTTATTTTTTACAAAACTAGAACAAATAATACAAAAAATTATATGAAACCACAAAAGATCCCAGTGGCTACAGCAATTTTAAGAAAGAACAATGTTGGAGGAATCATGCCACCTGGTATTACACTATGCTACAAAGCTATAGTAATCAAAGCAGCATGGTACTGGCATAAAAACTGATACATAGATCAATGGAACAGAATAGAGAATCCAGAAATTAACCCATACCTATAGGTCAATTAATCTATTCTATGACAAGGGAAGCAACAGCATACAATGGCATAAGGACAGTCTATTCAATAATAGTGCTTGGAAAATTGGAGAGATATATGTAAAAAAAAAAAAGAAACTAGACTACATTCTTACACCTTATACAAGAATAAACTCAAAATTTATTAAAAACTTAAATGTAAGACTTGAAACCATAAAATTCCTAGAATAAAAATAGGCTACAAAATCTTGGACATTTCTCTAAGCTCTCTCTCTCTCTATATATATGTTCTGGTATATCTTTTTGGGTAAGGGAAACAAAAGAAAAAAATAAGCAAATGGAACTACATCAAACTGAAAGTTTTTGCACAGAAAAGGAAACCACTGACAAAATGAAAAGACAATGAACTGAATGGGAGAAGGTATTTGTCAATGATATGCAGAAAAGGAGTTAATATCCAAAATTTATAAAGAACACTTACAACATATCATTAAAAAAATCAAACAATTTGATGGAAAAATGGGCAGAGGGCCTGAATAGTTACTTCTTCAAACAAGATATACAGATTGCCAATAGACCTATGAAAAGATACTCACATCACTAATCATCAGAAAAATTTTAATTAAAACCAAAATGAAATACCTCCTTGTATCTGTGAAATTGGCTATTATCAATAAAAAAAAACAAAAAACAAAAAACAAAAAAAAACAAGTGTTGGTGAGGATATGGAAAAAGGGAAACCCTCATGCACTATTGGTGGGAATGTAGACTGGTACAGCTATTATGGAAAACAGTATGTTTTCTCAAGATGTTAAAAACGGAACTGCCTTATGATCCAGCATTTCCACTACTGGGTATAAACCCAAAGTAACCGAAAACATTAATTCAGAAGAGTATATGTATCCCTATGTTCATTGCAGTGTTATTTTTCATTAGCCAAGGTATTAAAGCAACCCAATTGCCTTTCAATACATGAATGGGAAAAAACTCTTTGGAACATATATAGACATATATACAATGAATTATTACTCAACAATAAAAAAAATTAAATCTTATTTGTGACAGCATGGGTGGACCTAGAGGTTATTATGCTAAATGAAATAAGTCTGTCAGAAAAGACAAATACCATATGATTTCATTTACATATGGAATCTAAGAGAAAAAATGATAAAATAAAAGAGAAACAGACTTATAGACACAGAGAACAAACTGATGGCTTCCAGAGTGGATGGAGTTTGAGTAACTTTGTAAAAAAGATGAAGAGATTAAGAAATACAAAGTAGTTGTTACAAAATAGTCACTGTTTCTTCAAAACATCCTTGTTTCTTCAAAATCAGTCAGTCCTACATGCCGCTTTAAAATTGGCCAGGAACCAGAATAGGAAGCAAATTGTTCTTACAGGAGTCATTCTGTCTTTCATGAGGAAGGGATGAGAAACAAGGAACTGAGGATGGCACAGGTAAGGGCCCTGATGCAGGTACTGGCAATGCCTGACGTGGATCACCAGGTCCAGCAACAGTTCCACCTCCACTGCCAAGGGCACCTTTCTTGACATCATCGGTAAATCCAACACTAACCAGGTCTCCTGGGGCTTCAGCCATAGTTGTTACCTTGGATTTATATGGCACATTATAGTTCTTAGCAATTTCTATCAGGTACTGTTCCACTAGAACCTGGGGTAGAGTGTCCACATTTAATTTACACATTAGCCGAGAGCTGACAGTTCCAATCTCACTGGTTCGACACAGTTGACCATATTCTTGGCTGTACTTTGCACACAGCTGATTAGATACTATTTTCAGTTCAGGCACTTCTGACTGGAGTCGAGGAGCAGCCCAAATTAGTGTAGATACAGATTCAGCCAGACTAGAATCCAGTTCCTTTGTGGCCTGGATCAAGCCAAACCGGGCCAGCAGCAGGTCGCAGTACAGCTCCAGGATCTCCATGGCCTCCACGAGGTAGTCTTCGCGTATAATGTGCTCCACTCGGATCCGAGCTCGTTCATCCTTCCCAGCAGCCAGATAGTCAGCAACCTCTTTCCTTGCTTTCTGGGCCTGCTCAGAAAGCCCAGAAATGGGATATCCACTGGGATATAACATTATATCCACTGGGATATAAAGTATAGCATAGGAAATATAGTCAATAATATTGCAAAAATTATGTATGGTGCTAGGTGGGTACTGGAAATATTGGGGAGAACACCTTGCAAATAATATGACTGTCTTCACACTATGCTGTACACTTGAAACTAATACAAAATAATATTGAATATAAACTCTAATTCAAAAATAAAATTTAAATTAAAAAAATAATAAGATCATACAAGATGGAAGGAGAGTAGGTGGAAGCTAAACTAACCACCACCCAAGACCAAACTGGAATTACAACTAAATTATAGAAAAATTATCCTGAATAACGAACTGAACACTAGCTGGAGAAATGCTTTATAACCAAAGACTTTATGGAAGAATCCATATCATTACAATGAGACTGGTAGGAAGTACAAAGGTATGAGAGGGCTGGCTGGGTTCCCACTGGTGGCAGCTGAGTTATGGAGGGATATTTCAGTGACCAGAGGGGTTTCCTCTGAGAAATGTAGGGTCTAAACTCCATACTAAGCTCCCCTACCTAGAGCACAGAACTGAGAAAGAAATGGAAATAACACCTGGCTATAAAATGCAGCAGGGTTTCTGTCTGCCAGGAAGAGACAGCTAGAGATGCAAAGAGTCTCCTATAGGGTCAATGCACAAAATTTCATTGTCAGCCACTTGCCATGGGCTCTGACAGGGAGGGCAGCAGACTAGAGCCACATGAGAAGAGACTGGGGTTGGTGGCTCTGGGGAGAGAGCTGAAGGTTTAGTTAATAGGATCCCTATGCTAAGTAATTCCTAATACAGCAGAAGCCACCTTTCTTGGGCAGAGCACTCCCCTCCAAGAGGCATCAGCATGAGGGGAAGCACAAGCCCTGCCTGCAGAATTACTTATTGCTCCACAGGGAATCTTAAGCCAGGCTGTAGAGAAGTACAGCTGGAGGCAATTTCAGTGTTTAAGCTTAATGGAAAACCTACAGGCAAAGGAGGATCCCTGGGAGTACTAAGGCTTTAGCTGACTCTCCTCCAAATATGGTGTTACCAAAAGCTGGTCTTGGTGCACAGCCTGTTTTATTTCTGCATACACCGAGGCCCAGGAGAAGAAGCCGCAAGCTGGGGATCACTGATAGCTTCAAACAGGTTGCCCAGAGCCAGTCACAGGCTGCATTTGACATAGGCTGAACCAGAACCTCTGCAGATCTACCTAATACATAGAAACCAACACAAAAGACAGGCAAAATGGGAAGGCAAAGAAACAGGCCCCAAATAGAAGCACAAGAGAATTCTCTAGAAGAAGAACTAAATGAAATGGAGGTAAGCAATTTATCAGATACAGGGTTTAGAGTCATGATTATAAGAATATTCAATACCATGAAAAAAGACATAAAAACCATAATACAAGACCCATAAGAACTAAAGAATGCAATATGTGAAATAAATAATACATTGGAAGGAATAAACTTGTAGTGTAGATGAACCAGAGGACTGAATCATTGGTTTGGAAGACCAGGAAGAAAAAAACATCCCAGGAGAGCAACAAAAAGAAAAAATAATTTTAAAAACATGCAGAGAGTTTAAAAAACCTTTGGGACAACACAAAGTGTAACAACATCTGCATCATGAGAATACCAGAAGGAAATGAGTGTAAGCAAAGAATCAAAACTGAAAACATCTCTAACCTGGTCAGAGAAAAAGATATTCAAGTCCAGGAAGCTCAGAGAATCCCAAACAAGACAGACCCAAAAATGTCAAAACTAAGACACATAAAAATTAAAACTGGAAAGGTTAAAGACAAGGAGAGAACCTTCAAAGCCTAAAGAGAAAAGCAATTAGTTGCCTACAAGAGAGCTCCAATTCGATTGTCATCTGAATTCCAACAGAAACATTTCTACCTAGAAGGGATGTCCATGATAGGAAAGGTGATGAGAAGTAAGGACCTATAACCAAAGCTACTTTACTCAGGAAGACTATCATTTAAAATGAAGGAGAAATAAGGAGCTTCCCAGACAAGAAAAATCTGAAGGAGTTTGTAAACACCAATTTAGTACATCAGCAATGTTAAAGGGCTTGGTTTAAGAAGAAGGAGAAAAATATATAAAAACAAAGGAAAATAGTTAAAAAATAAAGTGACAATAATTACGTATCTATAAATAGTCACATTAAATGTAAATAGCTTAAATGGTACAATCAAAAGACATAGGGTTGCTGAATGGATAAGAAAACAAGATCCATATATGTGCTGTCTTCAAGAGACACATCTCAGATTGAAAGATACACATAGACTAAAAGAAAAGGGAAGGAAAAGATATTTCACATAAATGGAAAAAAACTCAGGTAGTAATATTTATACCAAACATAATACTTTACATAATGATAAAGGGAACAATCCAATGGGTGGATATAACCCTAGTAAACATTTATGCACACAACATAGGAACACCTAAATATGTTAAGCAAATCTTGATGGACATAAAGGGAGATACTGATAGAAATGCATTCATAGTCAGGGATTTTTAACACCCCATTAACTTCAATGAATAGAACTTTCACACAGAGAACCAACAAGGAGACAGAAACCTTAAACTACATACCAGACCAAATGAATTTAATTGATATCTACAGAGCATTTCACCCCAAAATATCAGAATATATATACTTTTCAAGTGTTCATGAAATGTTTTCTTTGCCACATTACATGTTAGAACTCAAAACAAGTCTCAATAAAATTAAGAAAATTGAAATCATGTCAAGCATCTTCTCTGACCACAATGCTATGAAACTAGAAATTAATCACAAGAAAAAAACAAAAAAATACACAAAGACATGGACGCTAAATAACATATTATTATGTAATGAATGGGTCAAAAAGGAGATCAAGGAGTAATTAAAAGGTGCCTTGAAGAAAATAAAAATAAGGACACAGCAGCCCAAAATCTGTGGGACACAGGGAAAGCCATCCTAAGAGGGAAATTCAAGCATTACAGGTCTACCTCAAGAAACAAGAAAAAACTCAAATGAGCAAATAACTTTAAGAAACAACAACAAAGCCCAAAGAGAGTAGAAGGAAGGAAATAATAAAGATCAGGACAGAAATAAACAAAGTAGAGATTAACAAAATGCTACAAAAGATCAATGAATCCAATAGCTGGTTCTCTGAAAAGATAAACAAAATTGGAAAACTTTAACCAGACTCATCAAGAAAAAGATGGAGGACTTAATAAATAAAATCAGTAATGAAAGAGGAGAAATAACAACTGACACCAAAGAAATACAATGGATTCTAAGAAAATATTATATACGCCAACAAAATGGACAACCTGGGTGAAATGTATAATTTCCAGATATATACTATCTTCCAAAACCGAATCAGGAAGAGTGAAAGAATCTCAATAGGCAGATTAAACCCAGTGAATTGAAGCAGTAATTAATAAACTCCTAACAAACAAAAGCCCTGGATTGAATGGCTTCACAGGTAAATTTTACCTAATGTTCCAAGAATAAAATTATAGGCCTATACCTCTGGTGAACATAGATGCTAAAATCCTCAACAAAATATTAGCAAATTGAATATAGCAATACATAAAAAAGCCATCCATCATGAGCAAGTAGGATTTAATCTGGAAATGCTGATACAACATTTTCAAGTCAATAAATGTGATTCATAAAGAATTAGGGATAAAACTATTATATCAATATATCTCCACACTATTATATCAATAGATGGAGAAAAAGCATTTGATAAAATCCAGCACCCATTTATAATAAAAACTCTCAGCAGTGGGAATAAAGGGAACATACTTAAACATTATAAAGGCCATATTTAACAAACCCACTGTTAACATCATACATAAAGTGCAAAAATTACAAGCATTCCCCTTAAGATCAGGAAAAAGACAGGGACATCCACTTTCAGCGTTCTTATTCAACATAACACCACAAGTCCTATCCATAGCAATCAGACAAGAAGAAGGAATAAAGGCACCAAAATTGAAAAAGAAGAAGTAAAAACATCCTTATTTGCAGATGACATGATACTGTACATAGAGAACCCTAAGGATTCCACCAAGAAACCATAGAAATAAATTCAGGAAAGTAGCAATAAGTGAAATTAATACCCAGAAATCACTTGCATTTTTATATGCCAATGATGAACTAACAGAAAGGAAAAGTATGAAAGTGACCCATTCACAATTGCTTCAAAAAAAATAAAATACCTGGAATAAATCTAACCAAGGATGTAAAAGACTTGTACTAAGAAAATTATAAACACTGAAGAAAAAAAAGAAATTACAAATAAGTGGAAGCACATACCATATTTATGGATAAGAAGAATTAATATCATTAAAATGTTGATGCTGCACAAAGAATTGTAGAGATTCAAAGAAATTCCTGTCAAGATACCAATGACATATTTCACAGGACCAGAAAAAATATTTCAAAGATTTTTGGAACCACAAAGACCCCTCAGAGCAACAGTGATCCTGACAAGAAAAACAAAGTTGGATTAATCATGCTACTAACATCAAACTATACTAGATGCCATAGTAATCAAAACAGCATGGTACTGGCATAAAAAGACCTCTAAATCAATGGAACAGAATAAAGAGCCTAGAAATATACCTACACCTTTATACTCAATTAATACTCAACAGAGGAAACAAACACAATGGGCTAAAGACATTTTATTCAATTAATGGTGTTGGGAAAATTAGACAGATGCATGCAGAAAAATGAAATTAGACCACTTTCTTATAACACACACAAGAATAAATTCAAAATGGATCAAAGACTTAAATGTTAGACCCTAAATCATAAGAATCTAAGAAGAAAACTTAAGCAGTAAAATCTCGGATATTGCTTATGGCAATATTTTATCTGATAAATCTCTTCCAGCAAGGGAAACAAAAGATAAAATAAACAAATGGGATTACATCGAACTAAAAAGTTTTTGCACAGCTAAAGAAATCATCAACAAAATAGAAAGACAGCCCATGGAATAAAAGAACATA